TTGATAGTTATTAAATAAAGTATGTGAATTACAAACACTGTCATTAAGGGTTGCCACTTAAGAACAGATTGTCATTTATGAAGGGGAGTGGTGGTGCAGAGGTTGTTGAAGGTGTGCCTGTGATTGGAAGGTTGCCGGTTTGATTCCCGAACCAACAACATAAAAAATGTGGGTGGGAAAGGTGAAACCTCCACACCTGCCTCCACCCTCATTTGCCCCACTCCAAGCCCTTGCGCAAGGCCCTTAACCCCCATCATCTGATCCCCCAGGTGCCCCAGATAGCAGCTCTCTGCTCCACACAGAGGGCTGTGGTAGCTCGGTGCTCTGTGGCTGCTTCAGGAAGGACATCTGGTGTAAAAACAATTGCTGAGTCTTTGTTCAAGTTAGTTCCCTGTGTTAGAAGTTTTAACCTTGCTGGAGGCTCGGTCTGGTCTACTCTGACCTATAACCTATTTCTGACTAGATCAGACCAGTCTCAGCTGCTCACAACGAGCGATCCCAGGCTCAACACCCGATAAGGAGTCATTTTTGTTCCTGCTTGCTTCCAACACTTAGATTGCACTTCATCCTAGTTATCCACCATCAGAAACACATAAGAGCGTACAGTCACACAAAGTCACCCCTCTGATACACTCTGATAGGATGCGTTCCCCGGATGTGAAGGCGAAGCCAAGGGTCAACATAAGCTAGAGCGTTGTTTTGCAGGCTTCCGGTTCTGGGTTGCGACGGGTCGGACGCCTCAGCGCTGAGCTTGTAATTTTTCCTGCCTTGCCTTCATTAAAAGGTAAAAAGAAGTTACCTCTCCTGATTTCATTGAGTTCTTGTGAGTTTCCTCTCCACCTTGGAACAAAATAACCGGAAGGGTGCCGTGGTCGCACGGCAGACACCCATGGAGACCCCTGAGGAAGAGAGCAGCTGAAAGAAGAAGACAATGCTCCTGTCACAAAGCAAGTTTTTCAGTGTCAAAATACTTTAATGTGAACACCAGAATATGTCATTATCAGAACAGACTGATTGCTGAGCAACAATACTTTTGGAAGGGAGGAAGGGATAACTCTCTCTATCCATCCATCCATCTTTATCCCTATCCGTGGGGCGAAATTTGAGAAACAGCCTGTTTCTAAGCTGACTGATGTGAGCGCACTCTTTTTATGTCCTCTTTATCTGTCTGTATGTACTCTACACATCATTATGTCATACTTTTATTAAGCTTGATAATAATACATTTTAAAGTCCAACACCCACTATTTTTTCATATTACATATCCAGTAAAATATGATAAAGACAAAACAGATAAACACCTATGCTCTGTGACAAACATTGAAAAGTAACGCAAACTGGTTTTAATTACCTAGTTTTTGTGATATTTGTAAAACATTTAAGTTTTTTTATTATTAATAATAATAGCTTGAACTACAATTTACTGAACAAGCTTCATAATGCCACATAAATACATGAAATGTAGTTGTGGTTTGTATTTTCCGTATTTCTTGCTTTGCTGTGAAATGATTCATAAAGTCATGTTAAACGGAGCAGATCTGGACTCCAGTGATTTCAGATTTTCTCCGTATTGTTAGTTTGTGGGTGACTGATGGACAGTGATGCTCTTTGTGAAGCTGCGCCTCTGTTCTGTAACCAGAGCTGGATGTTTCTCTAAAGTTTTGCTCTGAAGATTGACAGGCAAAACTACAGGCCTCGTCATCACCTGCTCCCCCAACAACACTAAGTTATGGACAGCAGAGCATCTATTTTTTACTTTGTTTTTGAGTCTTTGTTTAAATGTTGGTATTTCATAAGTAGACTAGACTCCATTTAGTGTTGAAAAACTGAAGTCTTTGTAAGTTTCTGATGTAACAGCTGTTCTATGCTCAAAAATCAAAATTTTAAAAATCAACCCAATCCTCTTCACCCTTTCGTTTTTGTTCAAGTTCCAGGCACTGAACTGAAATGAATCCCTAAAAGTGATGTTAAATGATTTACACATGATTTGCTCCTTCTAATTTTATGATTCTTGCGTGTAATGTCTTGTTGTTTTTTTGGATCCATAATGTTGCAACAACTTACACTTGCATAAAGAACTAAAAAATTAGTGGACATGACACACAAGTGGCTGATTGATGGATGAGCCACGAATTGTTCATTTAAAATAAATTATTTTAAATGATTAAAATAAATTATTTTAAATGATTTAGCACCTGTGTGCAGCCCACAACTGCAGGGGGAAGCTCCCTCCTGCATTTCTCCTCCATACTGCAGCAGTTTCGTGAACCCTTTGCTGTCCAGATGCACTGATCAACTTTTGTCTTCCAACTTAAAATTCAAAGTATGTCGCATCGTGAAATCATCATAATCACAAAATATAAAAGTGTTAACAGTTATTTTAAATTATTTTAGAGCTTCTATGTTCAGTTGTTTCAGTGTAGTTGATCAAGAAGTACATTTCTGCTCCGTGCTGCAGAGCTGCGTGAAGGGTTAACCCTTTGATGTCCTGCTGCACTTCTCTTCTCTACAATTTAAATACTATAATATTTTAAATAAACAGTTCACGCTGTTTCATTTCAATATGTACTTGTACGTAGCTGAAATGACAATAAAACCTCTTTGACTCTGACCATTGTTTCCCCTAGGTTGCAGGCCTGGAGGCAGGTATCAACAAGAATACAAGTTTTGTTTTGCTATTAACAATTTTAATAGTTTAACTTTTATAATAGAAAAAATGCATTTGTATTGGCTCTGAGTGGGTTGCAACATTTTTGAATAGTTGTAACTCAATAAGAGATCAAATATGAAAAATAAATGACAGTGTTTGCATTAATTCTGTCAAATCTGTTTGTCTAGTTTGCCTGGTATTACCAGTTTCACCGCTTTAAATGTTCAAGTATTTTTAGTGACAAGAAAGTTCAGATATTGTCATTTTCAAACATAACACTCATGTGACGTTTACAAGTCAAGAATGTGATTTAAAGTGATTAAACTCCTAAAAGTTGACACTCAGTTGATGTTTTTCTTTCATATACCTGATATATTTATAAGGATGATATTTAAAAATATAGCACAGGTAGTGCTTTACACAGTGCAATTTATCTTAAAACAGTAGACCTTTATATTTGTCAGACTGATAGAGTTCTGCCTTGAAATGACTTTGTTTCAACTCAAAGGGTTATTACTTGTGCTGATCATGAAATTACAATATCGTGGAAAAGTTGATTTATTTCAGTAATTACATTCAAAAAGTGAAACTTGTATATTCTATTAATTCATTACACACAGACTGATATATTTCAAATGTTTATTTCTTTTAATGTTCATGATTATAACTGACAACTAATGAAAACCCCAAATTCAGTATCTCAGAAAATTAGAATATTACTTAAGCCCAATAAAATAATGATTTTTAGAAATGTTGGCCAATTGAATACTATGAACATGAAAAGTATGAGCATGTGCAGCATCAATACTTAGTTGGAGCTCCTTTCGCCTGGATTACTGCAGTAATGCAGCGTGGCATGGAGTCGATCAGTCTGTGGCACTGCTCAGGTGTTATGAGTCCAGGTTGCTCTGATAGTGGCCTTCAGCTCTTCTGAATTGTTGAGTCTGGTGTATCACATCTTCCTCTTCACAATACTCCATAGATTTTCTACGGGGTTAAGGTCAGCTGAGTTTGCTGGACAATTAAGAATAGGGTCCTTAAGTTATGGTCCTTAAACCAGGTACTGGTAGTTTTGGCACTGTGTGCAGGTGCCAGTTCCTGTTGGAAAACTAAATCTGCATCTCCATAAAGTTGGTCAGCAGCAGGAAGCACGAAGTGTTCTAAAACTTCCTGGTAGACGGCTGCGTTGACCTTGGACCTCAGAAGACACAGTGGACCAACACCAGCAGATGACATAACACCCCCAAACCATCACTGACTGTGGACATTTGACACTGGACCTCAAGCAACGTGGATTCTCTTCCTCCAGACTCTGGGACCTTGATTTCCAAAGGAAATACAAAATTTACTTTCATCAGAGAACATAACTTTGGACCACTCAGCAGCAGTCCCAGGCGAGACCCTTCTGACACTTTCTCTTGTTCAAGAGTGGCTTGGCACAAGGAATGTGACAGCTGAAACCCATGTCTTGCATATGTCAGTGTGTGGTGGTTCTTGAAGCGCTGACTGCAGCTGCAGTCCACTCCTTGTAAATCTCCCCCACATTTATTTTTTTTTTTTCACAATCCTCTCCAGGGTGCGGTTATCTCTATTGCTTGTACACTTTTTTCTACCACATCGTTTCCTTCCCTTCACCTCTCTATTAATGTGCTTGGACACAGAGCTCTGCAAACAGCCAGCCTCTTTAGCAATTACCTTTTCTGTCTTGCCCTCCTTGTGCAAGGTGTCAATGGTTGTTTTTTGGACAACTATCAAGTCAGCAGTCTTCCCCATGATTGTGTAGCCTACAGAACTAGACTGAGACCATTTAAAGGCCTTTGCAGGTATTTTGAGTTAATTAGCTGATGAGAGTGTGGCACCAGGTGTCTTCAATATTGAACCTTTTCACAATATTCTAATTCTCTGAGATACTGAATTTGGGGTTTTCATTAGTTGTCGGTTATAATCATGAACATCAAAAGAAATAAACATTTGAAATATATCAGTATGTGTGTAATGAATAAATATAATATACAAGTTTCACTTTTTGAATGGAATTACTGAAATAAATCTACTTTTTCGTGAATTCTAATTTTATGACCAGCACCTGTATATTCCTATATACGATCACGTTCCAAATGCTTGACCAAAAATCATCTTTTTTTCCTTTGACTGATTTAAAATGTTCAATAACAGTAAAGAGTAGCAGTGGTCATTGCAGGGTAAATAAAGAGGTCAATGTTTAAAAGACATTCTGTACGTCTGTCAGTTCTAAGTTCATCGGAGGAGAGGAGCTAGGTATCGTCTGCTCCTCCTCGCTTTCTTTCTCCCCCTCTGTGGTACTTCCTTCTGCATATACAAAGACACACACATGCACACCAACGCTCACGTTCACTTCTTTCTCTTCCTATCTCCCAGGAAAGCTCTGATGGACGTGCTGGTGGAGCTGTGCAGTAGCTACCAGCTGAATCCAGCCCTCCACACCCTGGATCTTCTGTCACCCGAGGGACACTCGCTAGGGTTCAAACCCAACGCCCTGCTCGGGTCGCTCCATGTGGCCAGGGTGCTCATCAAGGAAAAGGTTGTGGAGGAGAAAGTGAGGCGCAGACCGGCGCCTAAAGTGCCAGAGGTGAGTTGCAGGGAAGCCCGGCTCCGTTGGATCTGTTTGTTTGTTTGTTTTTTGCTTAAATAATAACATTCACCTTTTTAATTTTTGAGAGTCAAGCATGGGTTTTTGTGTGTTTTTTTTTTTAACAATAACAAACAATATTTTCAGATAACTACACAGAATACACAAGGAATCCTTTTTTTTTATTATTAAGTAGAACGCTGTTCATTTGGCAGATAACAGGCTTGTCTGCACAATAATAAAGTTTGTGGTGTGCATGGATCATAACTGTCAGGACTTGCGTAACATTTCTCCCCCCCTCTACGTTTTACCATTCACCACTGGCAGAAGGCAAGGCCAGTGAAACCAGTAAGGGCTCATGCCAAGGTAGGAAGTGGTTGATAATGAACTGACCTGCTGTGTGGACTTCATTAATAAAGTAGATCTTTATTTTGCTGTACGTGTGTTTTTGTTTGTTTTTTTCTCCATTCTGGATTTCCTGTATTTCTCTCTTACAGATTATTCTCTTTTCTAAACGTCATTCTGCATCTGTTCCTATTTCTTTGCCTCTCCTTCTCCGTCTGCTAACAGTTTGAATATTTGATGAGTCCCTTACCTTTAGTTACCATGCATTATTTCTTTGCTCTTCTCAGGGCTCACTGGCTGCCCTGCCTCCCTTTGACCCCACCTGGCCTCAGACCAGAGACCAGCACTCTGTCACACATGGCTGTCAATCATTTTATTTTCAGTTCACCTGGTTGAGCAGCTAAACTCAAATGACTGTCAGACTGTATACCATCATTATCTAGATATCTTCCTGCAATACTATTTGTTTTATCCTGATGCATGCTCAATAATCCAGGTAGAAAAATCCAGAAAGTTAAGTCAGGTCCTCTGGACAACAGACAGCAGCAATGAACAGACTGAGGAGGCACCTGGAGGCTGTACATGTGGAGTCGGACAACAACGAGCAGGGACAGTGAATTCAGCGGAGAAGTGTCGGGATTGGAATCATCAAGTAAGGGAGGTGGGGGGTAGAATGCCTGACAGAGGCGGAGTGTTTATAAATGTAGGTAAACGTAGATGTTGAACAACCGGTTAAAATACACCAAAATGCAGGAAATCGTATCTACTTTATTCAGAATTTTCTGGGGAAGGACCCCCAGACCCACACCCAACCCCACTGCCGGCTCGCTCGCTATTTGTGTTCTGGCATCGATCGATTGACAAAATAAGCCCTGCATAAAAGCAATGCTTCTTAAAATGATTAAGGCTACCGTTGGCCACCCCCTGGCTCCACCTTTGCACCTGGAGCTTCCTCCACTCTCCAGGGTGTCACACTCCCTCAGACAAGCAAGAAAACCCAATAACCTCCCTTTGTTCTTCTCCACAGTGTAACTCCTATCCAACTGAATATTCAACTCCAGTTCAAAAAAACACTCATCTACAAAACTACAAACATTCACCATTTAAAGTAGTAGATTTCAACAGTAGACCAGAGCTGCCTCCACACCTCTCCATACATGGATTTTCTTATCTTTTGTTTATCAGATGGTGATATCAGGGCTCATTCAGTTGAAGCTATGTTGATGAATGTTCCCAGAACCTCCACACTGGACCTTTAGGCCGGTCACATCAGTGTTAGGTCTGTAGTATTTCCTCAGTCATTTCTCTCACAGGGCTGTTGATGCTGCACTTGCATGGAAAAGAAGTCTGCTCAAAATGTTGCTGTTTTTTCTTACATGAAAATCCTTTGGTCCACTGGTCAGATCACTGGAACACCTTAGTTTTTCAGTAATGACTTTTTTTTTTCTCTGTTTTATTAGTGTAAGCAATGGATGTCCTTCCAACTTTCTATAGTGTTGTACACTTTTAATGTCAGGAGAAACTGCAGAATGATGATTTGTGTGTTGACCGCGGTGTTTGCCTCCAATTAGACTTTTTCATCAGATCCAGCCACTGGAATTTAGTAATTAACTGTCTCCACTATTTTCTCCTCTGTGCATCAGAAAACAGTGCGTTTGATGGTGAACTACCACGGCAGCCAGAAGGCCGTGGTCCGGGTCAACCCACTGGTTCCGCTCCAAGCTCTGGTACCGGTCATCTGTGACAAGTGTGACTTTAAACCTGCTCACGTTCTGCTTCTGAAAGATGGCGTTAGTCGTTACGAGCTGCCGCTGGACAAATCTCTGACCGAGCTGGGGATCAAGGAGCTCTACGTGCAGGATCAGAGTCTAGGTAAGCCTGGATCATGTTATCCTCATCATTTAATTTTATTAACGCATTCCATACTCTTATTACTAAAGGTTGTGGGGAAACTACAGCCAGTGATGTTGCTTCATTTTGGTTCATTCATTCAAACTGAAGGGAGGCCAGTCTCTGTCATTTCACCTACTCTGTTTCAAAATGTTCAATAGAAAAACTGAATATCATGGCAGAATAAAGTTTTATTTAATAAATAAATAAAGTGCAATAAATTGCACCAAAACATGATGACTAGACTGTTGACTGGTGCTGTCCCTGTTTAACTTGAGTAAAGCCACAGGAACAGCAAAATATATCCAAATTCTAAAATGGATTTCCTGAATACATTTTCAGATGATCATTTACTTTGGTCTGGAAGCTGTAGGGTGAAATAGGAAAATTGGAAATACCCTCTGTCCGTTTGTCCATTTTGTGAGCATAATAGCTTAAAAGATAAGTGGTGTGTGGCTGCGTCTAGGCGTAAAGAAGGTCACCATTGGAAATGGGGTTGCCACGTCAAAATCCAAGGTGGCTCCCGCCAGTGGTTAATTTGAGCCGGATCCTTCTGGAACAAGATCTGGGAACTCTCTCATGATGATCCATTGTGTTTCGGCAACTCTTTGTTCGGATCCGGCAGCTCCGCCCCTAAAAGTCCAAAGTCATTGCGCATTTTTATTTTGATTATTTATTAAAAATACAACGAGAGGAGATGCTGCCCTTAGCCCGGCGGACCCAGTCTGTGGAGTGGATGTTCCAGCCGCAGCACACGCGGCAAACCAACTCTCTGACACGCTCCAGATGGTCACATTTACGCACAGAGGTTCTGCGCGGTGTCCTTCTCTCCTCCTCTCCAAATATTGTCCCTAGTCAGCGGGACTGCGCACTGAAAAACACCCCCTCTCTCCTCCTCTCAGACCCCTGAAACAGAAACGATCATTTATTCATCAGAATAAATAAATGCCTGTGGACAGTGCACATTGCGCACAGCGTCTCCAGACAGCACTACACAGCGCACACACAACATCAGCAGGTGTCTGAACTTCTGCTACATTTCAGACATAATAAATAAAAAAAGCTTACTGTTAAAAAAATACAAAGAGAAATGTTTGATGTGTTATTCACATTATACGTCACGTTTCAAAACAACGGCGCTAATTTGTCAAAAATAATGACAGTAATCAAAATGTCAAAGACACAGTTTAATTCAGTTTAATTTATAAAATGGATGGATTGTCTGACAACTGAGAATTGAAGCCTTCAGGTGCTTCAAATGGTGCCATGAGACTGGAGCAGGAGCAGCAACCAGGACTGAACTCAGGCTGAAATATATTCAGCGGAGAAGAGTTCCGCTCAGAACCGTGAAGTGAGGGGAGGGGGTTAGGACACCTGACAGAATCGTAGTTGCTCTATTCACACACAACCTGCTGTTGCTCTCCAAAATAGTAATTTTAGTCTCTACAAATGTAGGTAAATGTTGATGTATAACAACCTGTTAAAATACACCAAAATGCAGGAAATGGCATCTCTGTTATTCAAAATTTTCTGTGAGAGGACCCACGAACCTGACCCCACGCCCCCAACACCCCCGACCGTGGTTGTGTTTTATCTCAGGTCACAACATGTGATGTACCGGTAGATATTTGTGGGTACGGATTCAGTTTTATGCAAAATGAAAGCTTTTGTGATGCAGCAGTAGAGCTGCAATTTCTATCCCCGGCCCGACCCGAAATTTGGGCCGCATCGTGCCAAAACTATGTGCTTGATGGGCGGGCCGGGTCAGTCTTGGGCTTTTGATGCAGTTTTACGAATCGTACAGCACAAAGAAAACTAAATAAGAATGCACAATATAAAATTGTTTTGGTCTACTTGTAGGGGAGGAGGCAGGTCCGACCGGCCGGTTGAAAGAGGTAAAAAAAATTCTTAAGCTTCAGATGGATCACCTGAGCATCGGCTGTGCACGTCCCCACACCTGCTGTTATCTGGTGTGAAGGAAGTTGCAACATCTGAACTACAAAAGCCGAAGTGAACAGCATGTTCAATTAAAATAGCCTTGTTCTATAATTTTCCAAATAATTTTGCAAAAATATATTTTTTTTTGGGCTTGGGACCAGTTAAATGGTCGGGTCGGGTTCGGAAAAAATGGCTACGTGCTGGGGCCGGGTTGGGTCGGATTTTTTTAGGCCTGAATGCAACTCTACGCAGCAGGAAACAAGCAGATCATGATGTCATGTTGTGGTTTTATGTTGTATAATAATTAGAGTTTGGCACAGGCATTAAGTTGGTTTGTTATTTTTAGCCTCTGTTAATATTTAATGAGAAAAGCTACAAATAGCTTATTATTTTCTCAAACATAAAAAAATAAAATCTTCTTTGGGTAGTGAAAACCTGCCTTGTCTCCACCGTGTCAATTCAACATTTTAATTTGTTTGTCTTAAAGAAAAATAACTCAATATGTTTTGATTTTTTTCCAGTTTTGCAGCCTAAAATGGCCTCTGCCCCCGCTCTTAACTACTCAGGTATTAGTCCTCAGTGTTGTCCAAACTAAACCCTCGTAGCTCTTTGGTCTGATTCCTCACTAACCTCTGTCTTACTGCCCTGGACATGCTTGTTCGTTATTAAACTAATGAAACTATTAGTTTAGTTTTGTTTTTGTTTTGGTGCTTCAGCAGTGACTAGAACTTTGGACTGATGTCACATTAGCTTAGCTTCTCTAAAACTAATTGACTGAGTGGGCAATAGATTATCCTTTTACTAAAATTAATTCACCTTGTGTTAACTACTTACGCTGTGCTTATATAGAAATTAAGATTAGAAGTGGAGTTTTAGAATGATAAATCTCTGGCGCCCTCTGCTGAGCAGTTCAAAAAGCTTCAGATTGTTCCAAAATGTTATAAAATGTTAATTTATTCAACCTTTATTTGTGTAAATAAGGCTAAATAAACAATTTAAAAACCAATCTGGCTTAAAATAAAGAAATATTTTATTTTAAACTCAACATTTAGCACCCACTCACAACTGATTTATACAATCAGGAGCTTTTAATCTAATCAATAATTTAAAGATCTAACAACGTCAGAGTGATTTTGGTTCCTGTCCTTTTTATTATAAATGTTTCATAAAGCCATCTGCTCTCCTCCTGCTTTGTCTCTGTTTATTAGATTCTCTTTGGTCCAGTTCTACCAATTTGGGAAAATCTCCAAAGAAAGGCCTCCTGAACATTTTCCAGTTCAGCCGAAGGAAATCCAAGGTAGGATTTAAAATTCTGTCACATGCACAAGACTTTTGTTTGCAGTTTTTTTTTTATTTTTTATGCCATCTAAATCTTTTTTATTTTTTTTAAATTATTATTATCAAGCTTGTCTCTTTTTTTTTTTTCTGGTGAAAATTAATAAAATGTGAAAAACTAAAATATTTACGGTGTGGGGTTAGCTTATCTGAGCCAGACTTGAAGAGCTCACAGATATTTAATCAAGTGGAGGAAAAAAACTGGAAAAACTTTAATTAATTTTTTGTGGATTGAATCATATTTGGTCTACAAGCATCCTGCCACTGAAACACAGTCCATAATGTTTTTCATTTTTCAGGCTTTTTAACAACTTTTTTTATTGACTTTAAAATGTATTTGTTTTAAAATTCTGGCAGAAATGTTATTAGTTTGTCTTGAACACATTGTTACTTTTTCACCTGAAAAAAAAAAAAAAAACGATGGCAACATCAAACACCATGGCTTTATGAGAATGTGAAGTATGTTATTAATATGTGAATGAATGGCTTGATATCCAGTAACTGAGATGGACTAAATGCACGTTTAAAACGGCTGAATGCTGCATGTTGGTTTTCATTTGCAGACGAGATCTTTGGACATGGATGACTTTGATGAAAACACAGTTCTAAATACAGACATGAATTCAAATGTAAGTACCACTAACTTCTTTCACTAACGTCCAAAATTAAATCAGACATTTTATGATTTTTTTATTTTATTCTTTTCCGGAGGGATCCTAATACCAATAGCGGCATCTTGTACTCTTACTTAAAACACCGGGTACTTTGGACGGATACCTCTTTTACGCTTGGTGATGTTGTTTCCTCTTCCACTTTGCAAATAACCGAGGATTAAAAAGTAAAAAATGTCTGCAGGTTAGAGATATTTAAAGATAACACAGGTGATCAGACAGCAGACTGTTTGCTGTGTTCTTAATAAAAGATGTGTGAATCTGCAGTCATTGAGTAATGTTTAAGTACTAACTCACTAACAACTCGGGATCAGTACTCAGTATTAGCAAGTACTCAAACTGAAAGACGTGTACTCAGTCTGAAAAAACAACAACACCACAACAGTAGTATCGGGACACTCCTAGTTTTTTTTTCCCTCAGTGATTTCAACTATTTAACCACTTTGAATTAGTGGGAAAAAAAACAAGGTTATTTACTTAGAAACAAATAACACATTTATCTTGTTTGTTTATTTTTTTTGTTTTTTTGAATTATTATTAAATGGCTACTTATGAACAGATTTTACAGTCTGTCTGAATGGATTATATTGGACTGTGTTGGTAATCACTCAACTGCACCATATTTGAGCTAAATATCTATAAAAATGACTGAGCTGTAGCCATTTTTTGTCTTCGCTAAGATAATTAATAATAATAATGTATTTCAGTTGTTGGCATCTTTCAACACACTTCACAAAAAATAACAATACAATACGAAATCACAACATAAAAGCATAGATTAAAAATAAAAATAAGTAAAGATGGATGAAAATTAGAGCACAAAAGCTAACTTGAACAAATGGATTTTTTGAGTTGTGATTTAAAGGAAGGAAAGAGTCAGTATTGTGGATGTCTGAAGGAAGAGTGGAAAAAGCTTGGTGTCCCGGTGAGGTGAATTTTCGAGGAAGAACGGAGAGAACAGGAAGTGGTGATGATGTGCAGGAGTGGCGAGGTCGTTAAATATGACCGGAAGCCAGTGGAGTAGCTGTAGGACTGGGGTGATGGAATTGAGCTGTTTTAGTAATGATGCTGAATTTGGAACCAGTTGAGCATTTCGGAGGGATTTGTGAGGGAGACTGAAGAGGAGAGAATTACAATCATCATTATGTGAAATAAAATTAATATGCACCACAATGGAAGCAGAGTGAAGAGTGCGGGAAGAACAGAGTTGATTAATTTTTCCTTAGTGGAAATATAAAGACCAAATAATAGTATCATAGTAAAAAAAGACGCAGTCAAGTGTGACACCCAGACTCGTAACCTGAAGGAGAAACCAAGGAATTGTCAAAGATGATTGAAAAACTGTTGAATATGGGAAATGTGGATTTAATATAAATGGGCAGGATCTCAGCTTTGTCACTCTTTAGTTTCAGGAATTTAAAAGTGAACCAGGATTTGATTTCAGATAAGCTGGAAGTAAAGGAAAAGTGTGGAAGTGAAGAATTTAGTGAGGTGGATAAGAAGAGCTGGGTGTCATCAGTGGAAGTGAATATAATGAAAAGAAGGGGCCCCAGGATAGAGCCCTGGGGTACACCTGAAGTGACCGTGGAGGATTGGGATCTGAAGGATTAGAATTGGATGAACTGTTATCTGCTTACCAGGGGTTTGGCCGAACAGCAACGGTTAGAGCTGTCACAAGAGCCTGTGAGAGCTGTCGCAAACCTTTGACCGTTCGCCTCCCGTCTGGTGCCCTTCTTAAGTGGAGCTTGCATGTTCTTCTCGTGTGTGGGTATTTTTCTCCAGGTACTCCAGTTTCCTCCCATGGATAAAATCAAACAAACATGTTAGGTTAACTGGTAACTCTAAACTGGCAATAGATGAGAGTGTGAGTGGCTGTCTGTGTTGTTTATCTCTGCATTCGTGTGATGGACTGGAGACCTGTCCAGGGTGTCCCAGTCTTTTACACATTGACCACTGGAGATAAGCACCAGACCCACATCATCCAAAAAGGAAGAAACAAGTAAAGAAAATGGATTGATGGATTTTACTCACTATACTTCAAAATCATGTAAATTAGAAAGAAAGAAAAAAAGAAGGGCATTCAAACCTCAAAAATGAACTATCTTTAGAGAAAATACTCTGTAAATGTTCTAATTTATTTAAGAAAACATTCTGTCAAGAGGCTTCATGCCGTGCTGGCTCCAACCAGAAATTGATTTGAATTTTTTGACACATTAGACAGTTTTTTTGGTTGGTTTTTTAATGTTGTTTGGATTTCCCTTATTCCCATTTGTACCACAACATATATAAAAATAGAAGCCAAAAATGTAAGCTGTATATACATAATAAAGAAAATGCAATTATAGATCATTTTTGTTTGTTTTTTTCCTTTTAGTTTATTTGGACATAGCTGTGAGAGTGATGAAGGTGCATTCATAACGTTTGCTATTAAAGTACCGTAAATCTCAGCACTTCATGGTATTGTGCAAAACATACAGCAGGTATTTAAAACAAAGCTGTGACTAACTGGAGCATTTAAACTGAATCTTGACCAACATGTTTAAATCTATTGAGCAGCTATGGTATACCTGTGTGGTTTGACTGCACTATAAAAAGTGACACCATTGTGTACAGCTACAAGTTTTTCTTTAAACAACTTGTGATTTGTATCAGATGCTCAGAGATTAAATTACCTAGCTGTTAAGTGTTGTGCTTCTTTGTTAACAACTTGTTTTGTAAATGGTGTATTAGTAGATGTGACTGTGCTTCCCTGGATTAAAGTGTTGCGCTAAAAGTTGTATTATCCAGTCCCAGTCACCAGATTTACTGTATGTCTAATTAGATTTACAAAGATTTTTGGGTCAGCCTTGTGTCCTTGCAAAATGTGTCTCATAACGTCCTGATGCATGCTTAATAATCCAGGTAGATAAAACTAACCAGGTTGAGTCAGGTCCTCTGGACAGATTCTTTTTTATTGAAATGTGTAGTCTTTTGTCCAAAAGACTTGTTCAGCCTGCGGAGACTGAAAATGTGTTTTGGATAAAAGACAAAAACGCTTCATTAAAAAAGAATCCGTCCAGAGGACCTGACTCAACCTTGTTAGATGTCACATAACCTTCAGTACTGGTGTAACTGGCCATAGGATACACCCCAGTCCAGACTTTACTGAGGGGTCTAGGCTAGATTATACCCCAGGTATGCTATGACCTAGTCCAAACTGTACCCGGGTTCAATCTGGGCCTGGACAGCAGTTTTTAGTAACTGTTGTCATGTTTGACAATGTCCTCCAGAGGGTAGCAGTTGTCTCCAGATTATTCACCAGACCCCTCAAGAAAAAAGTTGTGCTTGAAACAAAACTGACTACTTTTTGTCTCATAGAAACTGAAAATTATTACAAAAAGCACAATAAATCATAGTATTTAATGGTGTAGTGACTGTAAATATTAAGCATCAGTAAATGTACTGTTTGTTTCCATCAGTTTAACTGTTTAAATTTGCAGAAGAGGTAGATTTATGGTGATCAGGTTTGGGAGGTATTATCATGTAACAACCTCAAGTCCTTGCATTCGTCCATTTTCTTTATCCGCTTTGTTCTTTCTGGGTCACAGGGGACTTGGTGTCCATCGTCATTGTGCTGGAGGTGGGTGACACCTTGGACAGGTGTCTGGTCTGTCACAAGGACACATGGAGACAAATGAGGCAATCACACTCTCACCTAGGGACAATTTAGAGTTACTGTTGAACTTAACATGCATGTTTTTGGTCTGTGGGAGGAAACTGGAGTACCATCAGAAACCCACTCACATATGGGAAGATCATGTAAACTCCACTCAGAAAAGTCCCAGTCTAGGTGGGGAAGCTGACACTTTCTAACTATGAGGTGATAGCTCTAACTTCAATTCATCCATCTATCCATTATCTTTTACCCACTTCTTCCATTTTGGGTCACGGGGGTCGCCGGTGCCCATGTCCAGCAATCACTGTGCGAGGGGCAGGGTACACCCTGGACGGGTCGCAAGTCCATCACAGGGCCACACAGAGACAAACGAGACCAACAACCATTCACTCTCTCACTCACACCTAGGGACATTAGAGTTACCAATCAGCCTGACATGTTTTTGGTCTGTGGGAGGAAACCGGAGCACCCGGAGAAAACCCACGCATGCATGGAGAGAACATGCAAACTCCACCCAGGAAGGCCCCTGGAGCGGGATTTGAACCGACAACCTTCTCGCTGAGAGGCAGCAGCTCTACCAGTTGCGCCACCGTGCTGCCAACTTCAATTCAATTCAGTTTATTTCTATAGCGCCAA